GTCTGTCAGGCACAGTCTCGTACACAGCGTCTGTCAGGAAGCAGATTACCCTAGAGTTCCTGCTCTCAACACTGGGTGTGTGTGGGGGGTATCTGTCACAGTAAACCAACAGATAAGCAAACAGGGTGGGGTCATGGAGACTTAGAATAAGTGTAGAGATGTCTGCTAAGGTGATGTTTGAGCAGGTGTGCTGTCTGGGTAAAGAGCATTTGCCCAGAGGGCAGCAAGTACATATGGACTTCTTTAAGGAACCCAGGAGGACTGAGAGAGCCAGAGAACTGTTAGCCGGAGCCTCAGGGACTTTGAAGAGAGGAAGTGAACGGTTGTAGGAAGGTAGCAAATGTTACTGGGAGTTGGAGTAAAGCGGATTCTTGTTCTGTAGCAACAGAAAGCTTAGTACACTGCTGCTTGCAGAGTGAGGGCGTTAAGTGCAGTTAAGTGGGTTCCAGAATGTTGACCCCACCAGACCAAAGCACTGTCTAGGCATGTGGCATCCTCATACTTGTTTGAGCCCATTCCTACAGCCACTGTGCCATTCCAGGTCCTTGAGGGTCTTTTCTCTTTCACTGACCCCTGTACTTCAGCAAGAATGATGTCCTGCTTCAGAGACTGGTGCCTCCTGATAACATGTCCAAAGTATGTGAGACTATCTTGTCTAGGAGCATTCTGGCTGGACTTCTTCGATGGTATTTCCAACCATCTTTGCCAACACCATAATTCATATACATCAGTTCTTCAGTCTTCCTTACTCGTTTTCCAGCTTTTACATGTACATGAGATAGTTTTTTCAGTTGACCTGGGTTTAGGTCAGGTGTGCCTTACTCTTCAAAGTGACTGCTTTGCTCTTTAATACTTTAGAGTGAGCGTTTGTAGCAGATTTGCCCAGTGTAATACGGTATTTTGTTTCCTAACTGCTTCTGCCATAGGCGTTGATTGTGGATCCAAATAATATGAAATCCTTGAAAATGTCAATTTTTCCTTTCTTTAGCATGATGCTGCTTATCGATTTAGTTTGTGAGGATTTCTGTTTTCTTTATGTTGAAGTGTGATCCATAGTGAAGGCTGTATTTGATCTTTTATCAGTAAGTACTTCGAGTCTTCCCTTTTAGCAAGCGTAGTTGTGCCATCTGCTTATATTTTTAACTTGCATGTGGTGTTAATGATGCTTGATAATGTCTGCATTCTGTTGGATCAAACTACTTTAGAACAGGTGCAAATATAACTGTCAGGCGGTTGACCAGGGAGCTGTCTTCTCAACTTTTTGGCATAGACAAATGAGAGTTTTCAGCATTGCCTTTGTTGCAACATTTCAGTTGGTATTGCTTCAAATAAGTATCCATAGTGAAAATAACTTGGGGCAACGAGGCTGGAATGGCTGGAGCAGGAGTAGTGGTAAAGTCGGGGTAGTGGCTGGCTGAGGCCTGGAGAAACATGGACTTTTACTCTGAGCAAGGTGGGTGGGGGCAAGATGGACTCTGAGCAGGGTGCCCAGGATCTGCCTCAGCACTTGGTTACATTCTTGGGGTGCTCCTAAGCATCAAGGAAACCAGTCTAACAACTTCCGTTACCGCCTTTTCATGCTGTTCACAGCATCGAGTGTTTTCTGTACAAATAACCAATAGGAATTAGTTGTCTGTTATTCATGACTCTTGTACATCGAACCAAGCATTGTCAGGACAAAATTAAATGTGCCGAGCACGGTGACTTCCCGTGGTCCTGGATGATTGCAATCTCGCTCTCACTGGTGAGACGCTGAACTATCTTCCATGTATAGACGTGGTCAACTTATCAGGGTTGTCATCCCCCGTCCCCCAGCCACCTTTTCTCTATCTATTGTGCAGCCTCCCTGGTTCCTTGCTAGTGTGGCAGGATCCTGGCCTCTTGGGGCTCTTTTCTTCCACCAGTTGGCTGACTTCTCCGCCCCTTTGATAGGAAGACTTCATTCGAGCTTCCCAGGCGTCCATGATCTGGATCAAGTGGCCCAGCCCTGTGAGCTTTCTGAACCCATGTGGATGGCTTTGGTTACTGGTTCTGGGTTTTCTGTATAGGATAGGCACCTGTTGGAGACCTACTAGGTCACGTGTTACAGTACCTGGTACACTTGAAGCACCTTGCAAGTTACGGATGTTAGCTGTCTGCTCCCAACCTGGGTTGTCTCGTGTGTGTGTGTAGGAGGATGTACTTTTGTGATTCCTCATTGAGTGCAGTCAGTTTAATTCTAACTCAGTAACCCAACAGAACAGATAGAAGTGTCCCATAAGGTTTCCTTGGTTTGTAGCCTTTTTTTTTAAAGAAACCAAACAAACTTGAGAATTGGATGAAGGTTTACAGAACAGATCAGTTTCCCAGTCAGCAGTTTACACCCATTTTGTTGGGTGTATCTGATCATCACAGTCCCCACAATGTAATATTGGTTAGCTCAATCTTGTGTTTCGTTTCTAAGCCTTCTGAACTCCATCCTTGGGTAATCTCTGCCCTTTTGAGC